GAAGTGCGGGAGTGCTTCATCATCATCGATGATCCTCCGATCCCCGTCGCGGGCCATGGCACATGCATGCCCACCGTCTCCATATCGCTCGATCTCTCGATCGAGCTCCGCGCATTCTTGCTCGAGCTGGGGTCACGCTTCCTTGAGCTCTTGGTGTCGGGCCTTCAGCGCTCCACCCGTAGGAGAGGCGGACCCGTACACCCCCCGACCTCGTCATTGAGGTCGTTCGTTGGGGTAGCCTCTTCCTCGTGGATGCTTTCAATGTGTCCCTCGGGGGTACCTACCATGAAACACTCACGAGAGGGGTGATGGCTCCCCCTGCTAGAGTCAGAGCTGGAGGGCGACTCCGATTCTCCCAAGAGGAGGTCGTGGAAAGACTCCGCAACATATTCGGTCATCCCCATGAACTCGTTGTTCGCGGGGGATGGAGGCATGCGTTGCGCCATAGGGTGGTCCACGGTCTCTGCGGCATTGCGGAGACTGAACAGGAGCGCTATCATGGCGCTCCGAGGGAGGTATTCCGAGGAGAGGGGCTCTCCCCTGGCAAGCTATGCCATGACGTTGGCAAACAAGAAGGTGAGGTGGTGCAGGTCCTCCCGGGACGGTCGGGATCCTAGGAAGGCGCCGAGCTGGCGCTCTAACCTCCCGTAATCGAAGCCGAGGAGCTGGTCGCTCCCGGGGGCATGGGCCTCCGGTGCATGCAGCTGCAGCTCCTCCAGCGCCTCGGCGATCGCGCTGAGGCCGGCAGAGTGGAGAGGTTGGACAGCGGCGGGAACCTACGCCAACTCTCCTTCCATCGTGACGATGAAGTCTAGGTCCCCGAAGCGCACGTGTGCACTCGGGTCCCATCTGACATTGTGACTAGCCATCCAAGGCCTGGTGTGGATGTTGAGACGCTCAAAAGGCCCCTACTTAGCGGACCAACTGTCAGTGTTTCGAGTCACCACCGACAAGTAAATTTCTAATATTGCGCGTCTGGCTTGGATGGTGTGCTTAGAGGACACGAGATTTATAATGGTTTGGGCAGAATATCCCTACGTCCAGTTCGTCGCTGCTGCTCGTGTTACTAGCACCGAAAGTTTGTAGTAGGGGTTACAAACGGACGAGAGAGGGACAGGTCCCAAGTCTCTGATGGAAAGAGTAAACGGATGCTGAGAGCTCGGTTGCCGCTCAGCCGTGTGCTTGTGTTGTGTTCTGGTTGGTTCGAGTTTGATGGGTTCGTGGTGATTCGATCGGGTCTGGCCTGGATCGACCCGATGTGTTGCGATGCTCCTTATGTGATGCCCTGCTTTCCCTTTTATAGGCCAAGGGAAAACATGGGTTATAGCGGAGGAAAAAGAAGAACGAGAGAGAGAGCCAAAGGAATTTAGGATCGCTGGATCCTTCTTCTCCTTCATGCGGGTCCCGTTGACACTGTAGATGTCAACAGGATGGCTTCGCGTCGTGGTCTTGTCCGTCACTAGCGCCATGCGCAGGCGTCATATGCTGGTCATGGATCTCCACTCCATCCTGGCAAACGTCGTGGTGAACCGACGCACCCGTCAGTGTTCGTACGGGGGTTAGGCAGAACAGCACCGGTACGCCCGACGCTGTTCTTGATGTGAATCCTCCGGTATGGCCCATCAAGGCCACGGGTTACATTGGGGCGTGCCGGTCTCTTCCCTGGTGTCAGAGATTTGACTCAGGCCCACACGCTTGGACCTAGAGTGGTTGGCGGCGGTATGAGTCTCCGTCGGGCAAGGCGGAGCCCACGGCCTTGGGTTGGGTGAGGCGGAGTCCTCCCCCAGAGGTCGGGCGAGGCGAGCGCAAACCCAAGGGTCGGGCGAGATGGATCGCCGACCCAAGGGTTGGGCGAGGCGGAGTCCTCCCATAGAGGCCGGGCGAGGCGGAGCCCACGGCCCAAGGGTCGGGCGAGGCAGAGCGCAGACCCAAGGGTCGGGCGAGGAGCGCAGGCAGAGCCCGCGCCCTCGGGGTCGGGCGAGGCGAGGGTCCTTCCCCAAAGGCTGGTTGAGGCAAAGCGCGGACCCAAGGGTCGGGCGAGGCGGAGCGTAGACCCAAAAGGTCGGGCGAGGTGGTCCCTCTCCCAAAGGCAGGGCGAAACGGAGCTTGCGCGTCTGGGGGTCGGTTGGAGCTGTAGTCACGCTCTTGACTGCTCGGATAAGTCAATGTTGATGGTCATTAGCTCTTCCTCTTCGGGTGCTCTATTATTGGTCCCCGACAACATGACACTGTCACAAATATTCTTCGGACCACACCATTAAATGTCTCCTTTAAGAGCGTTATTGGGCAATAACTTGGAGAATTGGAACAGGATTGTCTATTCATTAGCAATACTGAACTTGCATGAAGATCAGGACTCGTATATTTGGTCCTTACATAGTCATCAGGTCTTTTCTCGGTTAGATCAATGTACGCTGCCTTAGTAATGGGGTCAGAGTGTCTCAAGAATTTTGGCGTGCTAAATTTCCAACCAAGATTAAAATCTTCATGTGGTATTTAAAAAAAGTTGTTATCTTAACTAAAGACAATCTCATCAAAAGAATTGCTGCTTCTGTCATCAACCAGAGTCAACATCTTTTTTCAACTGTGCATACGCTAATTTCTTGTGGCGAGCTGTGCACATAGTGTTTGGAATACCAAGACCAATAAGCATGTATGATATTTTTCATCGCTGGTGTAATTTGGAAAGGACCAAACCAAACTTATTATTACTAACTGTTATGTTGGGCAATATGGCTTACAAGAAACGAAGTTGTTTTTGACAAATACAGACCAAAATCTTTCTTGCAGGTATTGTTCAGGGGAACGCACTGGCTCCGGTTGTGGGTGCAGTTATAAACGGAGGGATGTACTCATCCATGTCTGTGGCCTGCTCGAAGAGCCCGCCTTGGAGCGCGTCAAATGGATGGTTATCTACTAGTTGGATTGGTGTTCATTAGTCTAAACTTTCGTGTGTCATTTTGAGCTTTGTGTTTGCTTGTAAGAACTTTGTCGGTGTGTTTGGGTGTTGCAACTCTGTAATAATGGCCTGATTCTACATTATGTAGATAAAGCTAGATATTAACTATTCTTTATCTAAAAAAGGTTTGAGAACCTGCTCATTCCATAACATAAATCATGTTCCACCAGTTTAGGGGGTGTTTGGTTCATCACAGGAAAGGTTGCCTAGCGGTGTTTGGTTCCATCACAGGAAGGTTCCCTAGCCCCAGCAGTGATCCCAGGCATTCGATTCGGTCACCTAGGACTGCGATGGCTGCCTGGATGCCTACTTGCCAGGGAGGCCACCATTTAAACAGCACCTTAACTTCTTTTAGCACCATAAGAACCATCAGTGTAAAGGACTGCTAGACCTCTAGAGCAGTATAGTTGTGCCACCAAAATACACATGGTGAATACACAAAAACAATGCAATGTCATGTTTCTGAATGGTAGAACTGAGTTTTCTGATACAAGTTTCTAAGCTCTTAATTACTCTACAAATAACCGTGTATACTTGGAAACTATGAACTTGATATAAAGTGGCATGTATCTCCTTTTTATCATATTCTTTATTCAAAGTACACAGAATATATACCATATAATAGTTTTCTATGGATCCGAGTTTGAATTTTCATGCTTGATTTTTAAATATTTTAATTCGTAAGGACTTAAAAATAATCTCAGCTGAAACAAGACTTTTTTTTTTGAAATCACTGAACTCAAAGCATTTAGTTCAAAATCAACCTGGCAATAGTATGATTCTCTTGTTTGGGAATAGCACTATATCTCCAAGAATTTTTGGTGATTGGTCATCCCTCTATGTACAAATTTTCGCTGCAGCAATTGTAGGCACATTAAATGTGTTTAATCAAGCAAGGTATTGTTTTGGATTACATCCACATGTCTAAACCATTCATTTACCATGCCAACTGCCAATTGATTTCAGACTTGAAGCTAGGCCAAACATGCCCTAAACTGAACACATGCCTTTTCCAATTATCAACAACAATGATGGATTCATATTACTTTGATCTGTCATGACCATGCAATTGTCAATGTCAAACTTCAAGTATTTGACCCTTAAAACATGAATTTATTATGAGAGCATTGATTCACAAAGATGCCTAATACTTGGTTCAACAGTCTAGTTCAATAAAACTAATTCAAAAACGGAAACAGATATTACACCAATTGTACATCTGAAATTTTCTTTAAGACATTCAGCTCGAATTGTGAAGAACAAGAACTTTATTTTTCAGTAGACTGGCCAAACAAATAAAACATTATGATGAAGCTAATGCAGTGCAAATTATGAGTTACAATGTTAGTAACCCGGCAATATTTCAGCAATTTGTCGAGAAGAACAATTCATCACATTTGAGAATATGGAATAACAAATACTAGGGAGAAACACTTGCAACAGCTTTTCAGATATGGACATAGATCCTAATAGATCTTATCAAGGTAGTACCGCCTAGAAGAACCAAATGGAAACTTCTGATGTGACGTGCTGTGGTGCAACAGAAGAATATGGCCTCGTTCGCATCGCTGAAAAAACAAGCCGAAACACTGTTCCGACTGATTTGCTGTGAGAGAAAAACACTGTTCTGACTGAAAAAACAAGCTGAAAAAGACGGATTATAAAAGAAACGAACAGGGCTATATCTATCTATGCATAGCTTGTCGTAAGCCAGAAAAGGGTAGACTAACATGATTTACTTCTTAATGCTTTTGAGATAGTACTATAGGCTAATAGCCTAATAATAACAACGACATTCAACAGTCAACCCTAGAGACAAATAACCTTACATATAATCCATCATCCACTAGCACCATTACATCATTTGAGAAGGTACATATAAATCCACAACTTAAAATGATTCATACAATTCACTGAAGACAAACCACAAAAAATGAATCATACAATTCACTGAAGAGTGAAGAAAAACCACTAACCATGCATGAATCACAGAGTCCACTGAAGACAAAACCTGTCGTCATGACTCCAACTTTTGGACATGTCAATCATTGTTCAGCTCTGGAAAAGTAGGAGGCCAAACCATCACCAAGGGACAGACATCAAACGGGCATCCATGACTCTGGGTTCCATGGTACACCTTCTCCACAGTCCTTCTTGAAACATCCAGGTAGAAGAGTTGTTGTTCTATCTCAAACAAGACAAACTCGGCATTATCTCTGACATCATTTACACTGAAAAACACATTCCCTGAAAACCAGGTAGGATGCACGAGGTGACCAAAGGCCTGACGCAGGCAGACTGTGTCAACCAGCTCCCAGTTGCCTGGGCCGCTGCAGTCCGTTCTGTAGATCCAGACAGAAAGCTGAAAGTCCTCACTCACATGGATAAGATTAAACCCCGGAACCTCAGCACACGATAACCCAATGTTTGCAGCATGAGATCTGTGCTTCACCCCTTCCGGAAGCTTGATCAAGAACAGGCTCGTAGAAGCTAAATCTATCCCGAGGATGTGATCTGCCATACAAATCCGGTAGACCTTGCCATATGCAAGGAAACCAAAATTGCGGCATGCCACTAACTGTTCCGGCAGATCCGCCCACAGTACGACCTCTGAACTGCGGACCTTGTTCCAGTTTCCAGCTTGCAAGTCACAGATGTGTGCCCTGATTCCCCGAACACTGCGCGTCATGGTCACCGAAGTGCACGAGAGGCCGTCACCACCATCCTCGGGGAGAAGCAAACCTTGATCAAAAACTGACCACAGCAAATCATTATCACCATCGTCGTTGTCGTCCTCGTCCTCGTCCTCGCCTTCTTCATCATCGGAGTTCTCGTCGGGCCATGGGAAGAAGGTTAGGCCTCTCTCAGGGTACAGTGAGCTGCAGATGGCGTAGCGAAATGTCCCCTCTTCTCCGGTGTCGTCCACAAGGCAGAGAATGACGCGACCGTTGCGGCAGTCGTAGAGGATGTCCACGCGGTACCCGATGTGGAGGCTGCAGCAGCGGCGGACGATGGAAGCGATCTCTGGGGGATGTGGGCGCGGCACGAAGCGCAGGAGTTCGTTGTCGTAGAAGCCGAGGACGCGGGGCGGGTGGAGGGCACGGAACCTGAGGAGGAAGTCCAGATCGGAGGCGACCCGGTACCATTGCTTGCAGACGGCGGCGGCGCGGACGAGGCAGCTGGTGAAGCCGAGGCGGAGCAGGATCTCACGGAGGATGTCGTCGTTGCCGAGCACCATGCCAATCAAGGCTGCGGATGCAGCCACCCCCAGCGGAGAGAGCTTCCTGTCCTTGCTCTTCGGCTCCATCGCGACGGCGGCGGCACAGATCGGCGGCTGAGGCGTGAGATTTTGGGGGACCAGCATAGCAAATGGGGAATTTGGAGGGTATCTCGTGGGAACCTGTGGTTGTTTACTTAGGTAGGCAAACCCTACTGCCCGGTGCTCCCCATGCTTATCGTGTGTGCGCCACACGCCGCCAGTTTCTAATACCTAAACTGCGGCGCCAACGGGAGCCGTAGAGATTTCACAGCAAGCCAGCCTGGCAATATCAGGGTGGCGAGCAAGGCTGATGCCGAGGATGACAAATTAAGAAGGTAGGCGAGGCTAGGAGGAAGATACGATGAGCTGTCGCAGTAGAGGAAAGCATGTACGATGGAAAGTAGGTGAAAGAGATTCTAATTGAATCTGTCTATGCATCACTAGAATGATTTGGGACCTAGAACACTCAGATTTCTTTTCTTCTCACCTTCTTCCTCCTGCCTACTGCCCCATCACGGCGAGGTAGGGTCTCACCGGAGCTCTGCGGCCGCGGTTGTGGCCGTGGACCTTCGACGAGACCGTATCGCGCCCGCGGCGACCTCCTTCATCTCTTCCCCCTGCCATCGTCATGGTCATGGTCACCCCCGTGCCCCAACGTAGCCCGACCACCTCCTCCGCCGTCCGCTCCAGCGACGTCACCACCGTCTCCCCTCCCCCACCGCTTGGCCTACCTGTCTCCCAAAAATTTCGTCTAAGCCCGCTGAGACGCAGAAGAGAGGGAGAGGAAGAGAAGAGAGAAGAATCGAGTTTTCTAACACTCGAGTGAGATGTAGCTTTTCTATTCTAATTAAGGTAACAATCAAGCATAATATGGGTTACTTGTATCAATTAGTTGAGCAACACATTTGTTTATCAACCTACCGCTTAGAGCAATTCCAAGAGACCATCTGCGATCATAGGCCAAAAAAAAGAGGTCCAATAGCTTCTCTATCTCATTTTCTTTTTATTCCCCCACACTATCCCGGTTATCTCGCTCGTCAAAATCAGTGAGTCGTGCTTGCTCGTCATTCCAAGCTCACATGTGCGTCTTTCTCCCCTAAGCGCTCCTATTCCATGCGGGTCCCCCTTCTCCCTTAGTGTTGGTGGCAACCTGAGATCGGTGTTCCAAGCTCACATGCACCTCTTATGAGGATCACACTCGGCCTCTGAACCCTCTACTAAGGAGACGCGAGGGTGGAGGTCGAGGATTACCCACAGGAGAAAGACATGAAACTGGCACCGGAAACAGAACACAATAAATGATGGAGTAAATGGCGAAATCAATATATCTCTCTTGTTACAGCCGAATGGTCCCAATTTATAGCCACACCAGGATGCATAGTAAAATTATAGGCGCAAGGGCGTAGAGAGGGATTATTCCTCGTACAACGGAGGGAAATTTGAACTTGTTGCACTCTGGTCTCTACCATCCTCCTGAGGTCATGAGGCTTCCCTCCTTTGTGGGGTTCTCATTCTATTGTGCCTCGAAGATCCCCCTCAATGGGCTTGAGCACGTGCTATAGGTGAAGTCGGCGATGATGCCTAGGCTGCGTAACCTTCACCGCATGGTTAGTCCTACAAAACAAGCTTTGCGAAGTCATCTATTACCGGCCCCTTCGGGAAGAGGGGAGAGGGGTTTGTGCAACCTGAAGTTAGCGTCCGATAGGATGGAAGCAGACCGAAAAGGCCGTAGGAGGACCTAAGTCCTTCTACACTGCCATAGGGCCCGCCACTGGCGAGTAGTTTGATGGCGCTGATTGTGATGATTTCATGCAGTATGATGAGTTTGAGTGCGCCTATTGGCCTAGGGAGGTAGTTAGGTGGGTGTTGATTGGAGCAACAATAAGCATGAGCCACAAGCAACAACAGGGCAAGGGAGCGAATATGTGGGAGCATATACATTGTGTGAAATCAAGGGGAGGATATTGATTTTAGTAATGACGGTTTAAATTGTTAAAGAACAGCGCTTTTCATGAAAGGAGATCTACATCACGGCTACCATTGAGGGATCCGCCAAACACCAGTTCACCATAGAGGATGCCTTCTGCCACATATATAGACCAAGAAGGGGATGGCAAGGCCGATCCAATCAAGAAAAGTTGGGACAAAATAAAGATTTTGCTATGGAACCAGGACCATGATTTAAGTTCCAAACTTTACAAAGCCTCTTGGTGTTGCTCTTACACATGTTCAATATTAGAGCCAGTCATAGCACATTATCCTTGGAAATCCCATCTTTGTCATCATGATGCCTTGCTCTCATATCCATTCCTATTTTCCTCATAACAACCCTCTATCACCATGGTAACTTGCTACCCACACCTTAAGCTTCACCCTGCTTGGATCGTCTTGCGCACCACCATGGGCATCATATACATACCGCCATCTATATATAACTATAACTTGGGCTAACCATATAACTCACGAAAACCTTTGGAAAATTTTCAACCTCGCTATAAAAGTGAGGACTAGCTGGACACCCTCACTTGTATAATTCAAGTGTGGCTAGGGTATAGCTGCATGCAAAAGGCATATTGGTTATTGGTGTGGCTAGCCTAAGGAGAAGGTTTTGTGGGGTTTTCTTCTTGCAATGCCTTATTGTAGGGTCGAGATGGCAGACTAGAGGGGAGGTGAATAGTCCTTTCTAAAAATTAAACACACGGGCTAACCTAGACAAATACGGAATTAAAACTATCGGTCTAGTCAAGACTACACCCCTCTATCTAAGTTCACAAATACCTTATAAAAGATCCTAATTAAGCAACTAAGGTGCCAGGCTAGCTAGAGCTCACCTAAACAATTCTAGAAGCAAGGTCACACAAACCTATAGCACTCAAGCAACTGGGGAGCTCCTACACATGCTAGTATACAAAAGCACAAAGCTCCTAAACTCACTAGCAATGCTCAATAACAAGGCAACTAATGCCAAATTAGAGAGCGCAAAATACTTAGCTACACAAACTAAGCAATGTAACTAACAAGGTTACTAAAACTAAATTAGTTACGCAAGGGAGTTACTTCTATGCTACACAAGCAAGAAGGTAACTAGCAAGCTACACAAGATAACTAATTACAAGAGCAACTACACAAGCACAATATATATGAAAGTAAATACAAGCTTGTGTATGGGGATTGCAAACCAACGGGAAGATGATGACACGATAATTTTTATCTTGAGGTTCACTTGGTTGCAACCAAGCTAGTCCCCGTTGTGTCGACCGCTCACTTGGTGGTTCGGTGGCTAATTGGCATCAACCGCCAAGCCCACACGTTGGGCACCGCAAGAACCTAACCACAAGTGAGGGTATCTCAATGACATGCTCCACTAGAGTTGCTCTTCGCGATCCCCACGGGGTGAGCATAATCCCCCTCACAAATCCTCCTCTAGAGCACCGCACAATCTTCTCGCGTGCTTCAACGGAGTCACAAGCCACCAAGCCATCTAGGAGGTGGTAACCTCAAAGAGTAACAAGCACCATCGGCTTGCAACTCGATCACCTAGTGCCACTCGATGCAACCTCACGATGCAATCGCACTAGAATCGCTCACTCACTCGATCGGATGATCACTATCAAGCACAAGTGAGTTAGATGACTCCCAAGCACCACCACACAAGCCACCAAAGGCCGAACAACACCTCTATTTATAGCCCCATGGCTAAACTAGCCATTACCCCTTCGTTGGGCTTTCTGCGATGTGACCGGACGCTCTTCACAATGCTACCGGACGTGCAGGTCCCCGTGTCTGGTCACTCTCCATCATCCACATGTCATCTGCGTTCAACATCGAACGCCTGATCCCAACGGTCGTCTCTGCGTGCCAATGGTCAAAGAATGACCGGACATGCCGAAGGGCGACCTGACGTGCACAACCTGTGTTCGCTTGCGCACCCCTATGTGCCACAGAACCAAGGACCGGACGCGCCACCACGCAAAGACTTGACGCACCACTGCCAGCGTTCGATCGTTTTTAGAGGGCACCGGAGGAGGCCAAAGCATGACCAGAAGTGTCAGGTTAGTCATGACCGGACTCAGCGCCCGAGTTTGGTCCTTCTCTGCCTGCCACACGTCATCGCCACGACTCATGCCACAACATCAGCATACGTCACCGCGACCAAATGCACCAGTGTCGCGTCTAGTCTTCCACCGAGCCAGCATCCGGTCACTTGCCAACCTACGCTCTTCTCTACACGTGATGACTGGATGCAGGGGGGCAGAGTCCGGTCACTGCCGAGGCAGAGTCTGGTCCCCCTGAAACTCCTTCTCTTCACCGAGCTGATCCGTTTCAACTCCAACTTCTTCTCCTTTGCAAATGTGCCAACACCACCAAGTGTACAACAACTTGTGCAAGTACGTTAGCTTTTCACAAACATTTTTACCAAAGGAGTTAGCCACTCAACTTGCCACGCCACTCGATCCTAGCAACGATGCAAAGTTAGATCACTCGAGTGGCACTAGATGACCAATATGCAAACAAGTTTGCCCCTCTTGATAGTACGACCGTCTATCCTAAACCCGGTCATCAACTTCTCTACACGCCTTATGACCGATGAAATAAAATGCCCTAGTATATCTTTGCCTTGCGCATTCCATTTCATCTCCTCCATCGTTAATGCAACACATGCACCAACCAATCACAAATGATATGATCCACTTCATATCATCACATGACTTTGTTGGTTTATCGATCTTGACTTCATGTGGTAGAACTGCCTGAGCTAATGCCCTCCAAAGAGTACATGTCTACTATTAGACACCAAGTACCTAGGGGAGCGCACTAATTCAGATTGTTCCGTAGAGCACACCCAACGGGAGAACTCAAAAATCCACATCTTTCATCAGGATCATAAATGAGAGGATAAAGTTTACAACATTTTTAGCTATTTCTTACATCACTTTATTACAACATTAGAGTACTTACACAAGTTGAATGCAACAGCGGAAATTAAGCATATGATTAGAGTTACAGGAGAAACAAAGATTTATCTAATGACATGGTGAACCATTAAC